GGAGGGGGTATAAACAATGACTCGGGGGGATGTCACGACGCGATGAAGTATGTGGCGGGCTGGACCGCCGACCTGCCGGATGTCTCTGAAATAGTTTCCCGACCTGTGCCCGCGGCTGGCGCAAAATTTTGCTCGAGCGCGCTGAATAGGAAGCGCGCGAGATGCTCGGGCTGCGTCCGCGGGAGCAGCACGGCGGCGGCTTCGCGGCATACGCCCTGCAAGCCCGGCGGGCCGCCCGGTCAAGTTGGTTGTTTGGAGACAGCCGTCAATCGGCGGTTTTAATACCGTGAAGCGGAGGAGTCGCGCGGGCTTATAATTAAATTATTGAACCATGGACCCGATGGCATCCGTGGTCCCCACGTGTGGAAGTCGAGATGGAAGTCGGTCTAACTGTGGTCACGAAACGTGCTTCCTGTAACTCTTAGTTTACGACCGCGTTGCGGACTGCGCTGTCAGCATAATATTCTAACTACACACCGATACACACAAACACTAAGGCGAGGTGGGATTTATTCAGAGTTAGATACTTTGTTTATTGATTTACTCGGTTGCGGCAATGGCGAACTGTAGTTATTTCATGAGCAGCTCTACAGTCATGATGATTGGCGAGGATGTGGTGGGTTGTTATGCAATGTGGGGGTGTACAAACCACCCCTATCGGTGCCAGTGACGATCCCTCGAAGTCGAGCTTGTCCACCGACTGAGATGTTGGGTCGTGTTGGTCTGCTCGATCGGACCATGTCCGGTGTCCGGGCCGTTAGCTCTTTTTTTATGTTGCCGTCCACACCGGTCTGGTAGAACCCGTCCAAAAGCGGCCAAATGGCGAAATGTCATGTCTTAGCCCAGGCTGAAGGGTGAAGAACCTCTCGTCTGCAGAGAGTACAGGCCGGGCTCACTGCGGGCGGACGGGATATGCCCCGTTTAGTACAAGACCACAAATACTAGAAACATGCACTCAAACTGCACGCGACATTTGTTTTTAAGCAGTTTTTGCATTTTTGCAACAGATCAAACTGTTGTTTATTCGTCGCATTTTTGGACTTACGTGAACCGCAACGTCTGTCCCATATTGGCCGTGCCCGGAGCCGAGCACTTGCTTCGAAGGGCGTCCTTCAGCGAGCCACACTGCGTGGCAGGGAACGCCTCGGGATTCACAATAGACTCGGCGAAGAGCTCGTACGAACGGAGGTGACTGCAACTTCCTGCGAACGAAGGGAGGGCCCCATCGGTTAGGTATAGGCACTCAATCATGTGGGGATGAAGTGCGTCCGTGCTCACCCAGTCGATCCTTGACGATGCCGCAGCCCGGCTGGGAGATCGTCCCCCCGTTGGGGTAGAAGTCCACGTGGCCGAGGGGCCTCCGGTACCCCAGGAGTCCGACGCACGTGTGCACCACGTCCACCAGGTCGGCGTCAGAGGCGCCGAGGCGGTCAGCCGAGGAGTTGAAGAACAAGGGCTGTGCTGGGTCCAGGCCTGATGATGATATTGCGTTAACCAAAATGAATTAAAAGAAACAAAGAGTCAGCATGTTTTCTGCCGTGTCATTTCCAAGAAAACTTATTGTAACGCAGAGGCGCGAAATAAAAAGGGGGATTTAAACCTTATCTGTAGCGTCCATCGCACCCGTGCCCTGTCATATCCCCATTACCCTAATCCTGCTAGACCTGTGGATCCGTGTGGATCAACCGCAGGAGATAGAGGCGCGTTTAGTACAGCACAAAGGAGAGACAGAGAGAGACTGCTTATTAAAATGTTCTTTCTCCTTCTCTCCAGCCCCCTCTTCTCATGCCGGACAGTGGGTCGAGGTCGCGAAGTGAGGGTAGGCAAACACACAACCCGATAATTTTTTTCCCTCATCAGCTTTGTCCTTCCTCCCCAGACGTAGTAGAACAAGCAGGGGTCAGGATCAGCGGAGTGGAGAGGGAGAGAGAGAGAGAGAGGATGGAAGTGATTGACAGTCCGGGGAGAGCGACAGGAGAGAGAGAGAGAGAGAGAGAGAGAGAGAGAGAGAGAGAGAGAGAGAGAGAGAATGTCGTGACGCCTGCGGGATGGCCGCGCTGTGCAGCGGTGAGAGGCCTGACCTACGGTCCAGTTATCGGCCGCGCCGTGCCCCGCCACCTCGCGCACGCAAAGTGTGTCCGTGGGGCCCGCTCGCCCGGCGCCACTCGGGCCTGTCCGGCATAAGTGTGCGAGAAGTATGGAGGCGATCCTCGCCCTGCGGCTCAAGCGTCATGGAAAAATAGAGATTCTGTAATTATTTCAATTTTCCCTATTTTTTGTTTTAGTTTGATTCGGATCTACTCAGGCATGCGTCCGGCGCCAAAATCTGGACGTCATTCGGATCCTCTCCTCTACCGCTGGACTGGTTGGTTACTCGCCCCGCCCACCCCGACGAAACTGTCCAGTCTCATCCAGTCTCATCCCGTCTCGACCCCCCCCCTCCCCCCTGCTCCCCCTCAGGGGTCACCTTTATTCGTACGAGGGACGGCGGGGTAGGGCGGGCGGGAGCCACCTTGGCCCTGACCGTCGCCGGGCCGTAGTCTCCTTTCCTCAAGAAGTGCGTCATCTGCCCGCGCCCCCGCCGGCGGGGCAACGCACGATATCTACACCACCATCTGGCGGCTGTGGGGTCCGTTGAACTGTACCCTGTTAATTTGGGGGTGCTCATTGTCAGTAACGGTACACCAAGGCATTCTGGGATCGAATGCCCCCCAAAACTGAGTTCTTGGACCTGGTACTTTGTACTTGATCTTTGAATTTTTTAAGGACACATCACTTGAATCAAGTGTTATGTCCTTGAAAAATCAAGGTTCAAGTAGAATGAACTTGAACTTGGTCCAAGGTTTTTAGGGCGTGGGCTGCCAATTCGTCGATTTCTCAACCATATGCACGAGGCGAGGTGGCGAGGTGCGCTGTCACCGTGCCTTTAGGCCTTATCATTTTTGTGCTAGACGCGGAAGGTCTAAACGGAGGTATTCCAGGAGTAATCCGAGGGGGAATTCGACGCACTGCCGGGGTACAGTATTCTGGTTGGGGTCGTTTCACCCTCGGACGCACGGTGACGAGTACCTGTTATCCTGGCCACCCTGGTGCGCTTGGCCGCGTTGCCTACGACGTGCGCGCCCAGGCTGTGGCCGACGAGGTGCAGGCGGTCCGCGCTGCCCAGCCCGCTCGACAGCAACAAGTCCAGCAGGTCGGCCACCCTGGCCCCCACCGCGGCCACCCGGCTCCGCGCGGCGATGTACTTGGGCTTGGGGCACAACTCCCCCCAGTCCACGCCCAGGACGTTGGTGGGGTAGTCGGCCTGCAGGTACGCTGCAAGATTCAAGGACGCACTTTATAATACTTCTTACTTACGTTTTCTTTTCTCTTAAGCCGAGAAGGACCAGAAGGACAAGCTGGTGGATTCTAACGGGAAAAGTTTAAGCTTCCGCGTCGCAGTTATTTCGTTTTACGACTCCAAATGAAATCAGAGTGCACTGAAAATAACTTTTGCGCAACGTCATGAGCTCTAAAGAATTATGCTAGTTCGCACATAAAAAAAAGTAAAACAAAAGCTGCTTCAGGAAAGGATAGCCATGGGTCCCATGGCCGGATTCATTTGAATTAAAGATTACACCAGGACAAGCGGCAAAGCAAAATAATTTAAAAGAAGGCGAGTGTTCGGCCGTTTTAACCGGAGGGTGTCTGGACCTCTGACGACAACCGTGTGGGCAAAACTGTCTCTTCTCACGTGTCCCAAAGTGTCGCGAGACTTTAAATATATTCAATATTCACGACTCACGTGTAGTGGCACGTTTATCTCTGGCTCACCTCCGGCCACCTTGGCGAACAGATCCGCCCGAATGTCGTGTCCGTAGCCGTGGACGATCACGACGGAGGGTCGCGATGCGTTGAAGCCCTCGGCGAGCAGGGCCTCCCTGTCCAGGTCCACGCGCACCCCGTCGGGCTGAGCACTGTGGTGGCAGGCAACGCGAGCACGTCCTTCAAATCTCTTCCAATCAAACCTTCTCGACACTTTTATTGGTGGGTAATGTTCGGCAGGACTGGTCTCTACCACATGTTAATGGCGTTGAGAATAGGTTGCAAGTTTATTGTCAATTCAGTCCAGATCTGGATGCAGCCCTGTGGACGCGCGTCACCAGAAGCGTCTCACACATGCTCTGACGTCAAACACCGGTTTCAAATTACACATTTTTTCGAAGCTTCAACCTTTTCTTTAATGAACGTTCCCATCGCCCACAGCGCCCCATCACAAAGGCGTATCAGGGCGTAAATCAAAAACTCACTCAGTGATCAAGTAGAATTTGACAGCGCTCTGGACGTCCGCCGCGAGGACCATTTCTTCTTGATGAGGAAGTAGCGGCCATTTTTGTAACTCGCCTTCCTCTGTGTGACAGAACAGTAAACTCTTCGCACGCGGTCTTCGTATTGATTTCCTAAGTGTTTAATAGCACCTCTGGTTAGGGCATTTGGGCTGCCGAGCACAAGTAATAGAGCGAGATGTCGTAAACGTCAAATCAAAGCCATCACTTTCGTCGGAAACATCACGTCGGGAAAAGCCACTACTTCCCGGGTCGGGTTTCTGACTATACCTGTGTCGGCGCACACGACGCTGGCGAGTCCGAGGACCAGTAACACCACGGCGTGGGTAGAAGCCATGTCACACGCCCTGTCAGACTAACGACAGGCCAGAGGCACGGGGGCCTTTTGTACTTCGTCTGGTCTTATCGTGGACGACACCTGGGGGCGGACAGCCAGAGATTAATTCAGTTGCACATATCATGCGAATGTGATATAGGGCTGCATCCGGCTGTATTGATCCCCTCGCCCCTTTTTAAAAAAGGTCGACACAGTTGACAGTTAAACAAAAGTTAGTTTAGGAAGCCAGGGCAGTCCGCCTGTTCGAGCGACGCAGATGCGGTGTGACAAGATGATTGAACCAGAAGTTCATATTGCATCAACACACTAAACCCTTACTGTGTTTTTCATAAGCATGCAGTATTTTAAGCAGCCAAAGTTTTGCTCAAAAAGTCATGCATAACTATTTAAAAATTGTACATAACAATACTCAAATTTGGGCATAATGGACAATACTGTGCTGACTTAATGTTGTGCATGACTATGGCTGCCCATACCTCTGGAAGTCAGTGTGTCCAACCGCAACGCTTAAGGATCATCCAGAAATCAGCCGTCGTTCGCCGCTACGAACCTGTCAAGTTTAGCCTCTGCACGTTCTCTTAACGCCTGGTAGGTAGGCAACATCTTGCGTGCATGGCCGCCATGTACAGCAGGGTGGCCTACCCTGCGACTTGCAGGCGCCGAGCTCGCGTAATTGACCGAAAGAATCTGAGAAATACGAGCGTTCTTCGATCCCTTATGTGATCCACTCGACAACCCGGAGTCATAAAATGTTTGTCTTTGTCTCTTTCATCAATATAAAAATTTAGTGCTTTCAAAATTGAGTTAGTTCGGTTGTTGTGCCATACAGCGATACTTGACTATACTTGACTGATATGTCTCGTGCGAAACACGCAGAAATGAAGGGTTTTTGCTTAAAACTCATAAAATACGTCCATAGACTTTATTTTCTTTCAATGCATGCAACAGGGGCCTCATGAGAAAGTTTATCACAACTATCAGAATGAGAATTTAAAACTAAGGTTGGGTATGCGGTACAAAAAATACAAAATAGCTAACATTTCTCTAAGCTATGTACAGTTCGGAGTGTACGTTGTACGTATCACAATCACATCAGTCCTAGAGCCGTCGATTCTGTGGTAACTTGAAGAGAGTTAAGTAGTGTAAACCTCAGATGAACCAGCGTCTGAGGTGTGGTGGGGGCTTGTCTTAAGTTGCTCAACTAGTTGTTCTTCCTGGCCTCTTCCGAACGCATGTGAGCCTGGAAGTCGTACGGCGGGGAGCTGGCTGTCTGCAGGTAGTAGGTGCCCGGGCCGTCGGGGCTGCACGAAAGAATTTCAAAGAATATGTGTTAAAGCACTGGCATGTAAATATTGATATGTCAAAATAGGACGGCCGCGAGGAAAGTGTCCCACACACATTTAATAAACAGTGTCCCCGACTCACTTGTACTGGAGGCGCAGGCCCATGTTGCCCTCGACGTCCTCGGAGCACTCGCCCAGCCGGGCGGCCGTGTCCGATTCGCACTCGTGCGCGGGGAAGGACTCGGGCTCGAGCGCGGACTCGGCCATGTAGATGAAGGAGCGTGAGTGGCTGCAGGAGCCGGTCAGGTCGAGGCCGCAGCCGGGCTGGGGCCGCGTGCCGCCGTTGGGGTAGAAGTCGACGTGGCCGATGGCGTCCACGATGCCGAGCAGGCCGGAGCACGAGTGGATCACGTCCACGAGCTCGGCGTCCGTCTTGGCGAGGCGATCGTCCCTGAGGACGAGGAACAGCGGCATGGCGGGGTCCATTCCTACGCAAGCACAAATTATGATTTCCCCAAAATAAGTCTTTGAGAATTTTTTTTCAAAACGTTTGGAATTTTACCTAAAACTTTACTTTTTCATTTTTTTAAAACATTTTTTTCTGACAAAGCTTCCAATTTTTGGAGAAAAACTTCGGACATTAAGATTTCTATGGGCGTTTGAATTAGCGTCGCTTACCAGTGATCCTGCGGAGCTTGCCGCTCTTCACGTTCTTGCCGGTGTTGGCGCAGACGTGCGCGCCCAGGCTGTGGCCCATGCAGTGCACGTCGATCAGGTTGAGGCCGCCGTTGGCCACCAGCTCGTCCACGGCCAAGGCGACCCGCGCACCTACTCCGCCGACGTGGTTGCGGGACTCGATGTAGAACGGCATTTTGCAGAGGTTGCCCCAGTCCACGGCGATCACGTTGAAGTCGTCGTTGTCGAGGAGGTCTGTTGACGGACGAGACACATTACCGGATGAATCTCTGTGTCTCTCCAACGCTGACTACTTTGTACACACTCTGACCAGATGGTCGCCTGCGAGTCTCAGGGTAGGCCACACCCCTTGGACGAGTGCATAGCATTGCCTATCTACCAGGCGCTTGCCTCAACCTTAAGATAAACCTTGTGACGATCCTTCTTATTTAAAATTTGTAAAACCCTACAACGTTTACACCATTTGTTGTAGGAAACAAACACCATTAAAGCACAAAGGCCCTAAATGTAAATCTCATCCCTCTACAAAATGCACAAACAACTTTGTATTATATTGAAGGAAACAAAGACCATTAAAGCACAAAGGCCCTAAAGTAAATCTTATCCCTCCACAAAATGTACAACAAACTCGTTTAAAAACTGCATCTTAAACCCATACACACTTATCACTTATCCTACCTGGAATGAGGTACTGGAAGACGGGACTCCCGATGTTGTTGCCGAAGCCGTGAGTTACGATCTTAGTGGGGCGACCCGCGCTGAAACCAGCTTCCAAGAAGTCCTTGGCAGTCGGGGAAGTGCCGTCTACACCGACCAGGGTACCGTTGGGGTTGTTCCTGCCAAAGCACACTTGGGTTAGTCGGGCGTCATAGAAAAACCGTGTGGTTCCCTCACTTCGGCCAGACTTATCACAATTCATGCCGGATTGAATCATACTCTCGCACCAGCCGAGCCAAAGGCGCTACTTGCCCACACTCCTTACCTGGTGTACAAGTAGAAGAAGGTGTTGCCCGTGTAGTCAGGCGTCAGGATGCCGCCGAGAAGGGGTATTTCGGTGATGTGGGCGCCTGCATCGCCCTCGTTGAAGTGCAGCGTGCTGGGGTGACCCAGGCGGTGCCACTCGTCGATCTCCACCTGCAGGTGGGCGTACTTCTTCTGCACGGCGGCAAGCTTGTGCTGGTCGACCACGGCGGCTGCGGGGGCGTTACGACGATTTTAATACCAATACCCCATTTCAATACCATGAGGTTGAGGTCCAGCGTCCTTTTCCAAAAGGGCCCCTGCGACAGCGTCCGAGTCGACCCTCACCTGAGCTGAGCTGCGACAGCACGGCCACCCCGAAGACGAGGACGCTCAGGGACTTCGCCATCTCTACGACTGTTTGGTACTCTGGTTCACGAGTGAGGCTATGCCGCTATTGGCAGAGGGGTTCCGTTTTATATGAGGGAAACGTATCTTATCTGTCGACTGGTAATCCCAATCCGCATTTATCTCTGCAAAGGGGTACATTCAAGGGAGGCTATTAACAACAAGAGGATTCGGGAATATTCTTGAACTCTATGTTCGACCTAGAGTGGATATGTGCCCATTCTGAAATGAAATGCCGTGTCGTTACCGACATGACTGTCGCCAGGTATGGACACGATGCTATAAAGTACGATGAAATCTTCACTATTCAGGTGAAAAGCATAGCTTTGCAGGCGTGCAAAAAATGGAGGATTCCTATGACGCACGAAGCCTTTTTTTCGTAGTATGCTTATAGGAATGTGGGAACCACCACCACCACACACTCGACGTGTCCTAACACCAACGTTCTATCTGCAGCGCGTCATTTTCACAGTGTTCTATCTACAGCGCTGTAGAATACTTGTAGAATACTTGCGAACGATTGTGGCTGCATTATAATTGCGAACCAATAACGAATGATTTCCTTTGTAATGCAAAGAAATTCCTTCGTAGGCTTACAAAGCAGCCAAATCCTTTCGCCAAACGAATTCTACGCAAGGTATAATCAGTGTACCTTGCCCTTTCAGAGGGTGTAGTTAGAAGTTTGATAGTATTGATACGGATCATCTCGTGCGTGGAGGTCTCCTTTTATCCCTGCCCCTTTTGTTGGTTTTCCTTCGTTCTGTTTTCGTGTGGAGGGACGCGTTAGTCTCCCCTACTGCTGATTTCTTCTTTTGGGAAGTCCTCTGCGCGGGCAACACTCCCTCCCTTCATACCAGTTGACGGCGCCTTGCCCCTCTGCTCTTTGCGTCATCATAGGTTGGTGTCACCAAATATGTGTCTAAATCTTAATTTCTCGCGCGTGGCGGCGCCGCCTGCGGCCGCAGTCACGACACGGAAAGCGTGTGCCTTCCCAGGCTGCCGGCCCAGCACGCCAGCATCAATTCAAAGCATTTTTTTCCTCTAATCTGTGTGCTGACATCAGCAAGGCGAAGCCGCCGACAATTTTTGCAAAATATAAATCCCGTGCCGCGCCCACAAGTAGAGAGCGCAGGGCAGAAGGGGGATGCTGTCGTGAGTCTGCACTAGTGTAAACACCATCGATTGCCCTTCGGCCGTTGCTGCCCTGATGTCGACCGATTATAGTCGCGGTCGCATGGACTTTTGGCACGCGGGTGGGCGCGCGCGCGGCGACGCTTCACCCGCAAAGCCCATGTAAAGTCTGCCTTAATCTCGGTGGACAAAAAAGAAGGTGCGTCCCACCGCGCCGCTGCGGTCGGTAAAACTGTTTGTCGTTTTAAATGGCGTGTGACTTTAGCGGGCCTCTCGCCGGCGGGGTGCAAGGAGTGGTAACGAGCGGACTGACCCTCGCCGCTGCGCCGTGGCGGAGCGCTGGAGCGCATTCCACCCTCTCCATCTTTTGCTCTGTTCGGTGAATCTACCTTCCATGTAAGGCCGCCCCCCCCCCCCCGTGCGTTACAAATTCTTATTGTCACAACTCGTGGCGCCCTGCGCTAAGAGAAATGTTTCGTTGCAGCCACCAAAAATTGTTCGATCATTCCGGATTTATCATGGCCATCAAAATTTTGGTCGCAACAACTAAACTTTTTGTTACAACAACCAAAATTTCGGTTACAGCAACTAAAATTTTGATGCCTGTGACTAAGCCGAACTGACCGAACAAAATTTGGTCGTGGGTATCACAATTTGGATGGCTGCAACGAAACATTTCTCTCAGTGCGGTGAGACGCCACACTCCTCAAAAGTGTCGTGACAATTAGACAGGCTGGCCGCCTGGCCCGTGTCACTAAACGCGTCGCCCGAATAATTGCCACTTAGCGACGGCCTGCCGTCCGCCGCCGGGCGCTACCGCTACCTCCCGTGCAGATTAAGCCGCCGTTGTCCCCTCGGGATTAGGGCTCTAGGGCCGCGGTGCGCGGTGCGGTGGCCGAAGTGGTGGCCATAAATCACCAACGAATTGGCGGGCCCAGCAAGTGGAGCGGCTGATGACAGTGGCCCCCGCCCCGCCCAGCCCAGCCCGGCCTAATGGCCATGATAGGGCTTCTATACCCCAAAACCAACAACAACAAACACTTCTTTGAAATTTCCAAAAATTGACATTTAAGCGTGGATACAGGGTTCACGAAACAAAGTGTGATTTCCACGCTTTGTACGCTTCACTCTTTGTAAGCTTCACCAGCCAATCATCCATCAGCATCAGCTATCATCACGCCGGGCGTGAAAATCACGCATGACATGAGAATCACGCTCGCGTTTAGCGAACTCTCTATCCACCTTAAAAATGTTTGTTTTAAAATATCTGGTAACACCTTGTATGCGTAATTTTATCGATGTAAGATGAGTGTCTCTTTTGTTGTTTTTGTCTCTTCGATTATTTCACTTTTTTCAAGGACAAACTGGAGGGTGGGCGAAAAGCGGTTAATAGCGTTGTAGATCCGCGCGCATACGTTAAGTATCTTTCTCACAGGGCCTTTTCCAGCGGGTGACGTCATTCTATCGCCTTATCCGGGTTCCTTATTCCCACCCACACCACCGATCACACCAACCCGAAACAAGGAAGTGATCAGTAGAAAGCTCGTACTAAAGTAAAGAGCCCCCCGCTCTGGTGCGCTATCCTATAACGTCCTATTCTATTTACTGCGCCACCGCTCTATCTTCGTTTCCGGGTCATTCTGTGCAAATGTATCTGAAAACTAAGGAGGGGAAGGGAGAGGCGGCAAGCGGAGGAGGTGAGGGGGGGGCTTTCACAACACCCGCACAATATCCCTTATCGCTATCGCAATCCCCCCTTTAATTGCCGTGCTTTTATGCTTGCTGTGTTCCTCGTTTGCCTCTCGACCCATCTGCCTTGCGCGTGTCACCGGCCGCTGCTGGGCGCGGACCGAGCGACGTATCGAGAACTTTTCGGTCAACTTGTGAAATTGTGTGAGAGAGAAAGATTCGTACGGCCGTGAAGTTGAGCCGTCGGACCGAGTAAGGGAGATAGGGGGTCAAAGTTCGATTTGAATTATTCATAGATTCACAAATTGTTGTAGTTGTTGTTTCGTTATTTTTGTTTTGAGAGGATAAGGAGTATTTTAAAATTGCAAGAATGAGTTGTAGAAAATATGTGTAATCCTTTGCAGTTTTCCATTTATTGAAATGGGATGATCTCAGTGTAAACAAAATTTTTATCTATTCGTCGTCTAGGCTGCTCAGGCTGAAGGGACCAGTCATGCCCCCTCGGGTCTCGAGGTAGTAGGCGCCCTCCTCGCTGCAAAAAAGACGCAAAACATTACGATTAAAACCAAGTACTGTAACAAATGTTGGTAATTTTACCATACGCATGTATAGGAAATTTTCTATAAGTCGCATGGGACGTGAAAATTCTCATAAGTGTATAGGAGTTTTCCTATGCACGAAGATTGTATGGGAAAATCCGAAGCGAATAGGTAATTTGCCATAAATGTTTATAGGAAAATTCCCATACGTGTCCATTAGGCACATTTTACCACACATGTATATAGGGAAATTGAAAGACGATAAAAATTTTCTTACACACAGTTTGGAATTAGTTTAAACTATTTCATTACCATTTGCAACATAGTAATGATACAAATTTAGTAAAAACGTACCTGAACTGCACTTGTTCGCCCATTAAGGCAAAGGTGTCGCTGACGTCGCAGCGCAGGTGCGACGCTTCCCACTCGTCCTCGCACTTCCACGCTGGGAAGGCCTTCGGGTTCTCGATGGACTCGGCCAGCAATTGGTATGAGCGACCGTGCGAGCAGGCTCCTGTGGCGGGGCAAAACGACCGTCGCGATTTGCCGTATTTTCGACGATGATCTTTTCATTTCCCAACCCCCCTAAGAAACTCATGAGTTCTGACCTGTGATATCCCACGCGCAGCCAGGCTGCACCTTGCCTCCGTTGGGGTAGAAGTCGATGTGGCCGACAGCCGTGATCTCGGCGAGGCCGCCGGCGTTGGTGTGGATCACGTCCACCAGGTCGGCGTCGTCCTTGGACAGACGGCCCTCGATGGTCTTCATGTTGAACAGTGGCCTGGCGGGGTCCAGCCCTGAAGCCAATAGCAATCCGATTCGTCAGTCAAACCGCAAACCAATAAGCCGGCAACAACATGTTGTTCTTGAAAGTGTTCAATTAGGTGTTCCTCTAAATCTCACTGACACTAACTTATCACGATTGTGTAATATTCGAACTGCACGGCTCACATGTCTGACCGGTATTTTCGCCTCCCGACGGTTGTAATCGACATTTTGGTCGTTATACATTTCTCGTCGACCCAGTGTGCAAATGAGTAAAATGGCGATAGTCACATGTACGCTCACATGTTGCGGTTGCACGTGTCACGTGGCGACCTGGTTCGCGTGCCCAGGTAGCAGAGCTGGGCATTGATGCGCCTGAAATGCGCTTGAAATGCGCAAGAAATAATGCAGGCCTCGCTACCCGGGTGCTCGTCTTCTGTCAAATTATCTTTGAACGAAAGAAAAACAAATAAATACTTGCCTGTGATGCGCGCGATGCGTCCGGAGCTGATGAGCTCGCCCGCGATGCCCGCGACGTGCGCGCCCAGGCTGTGGCCGATGATGTGCAGCTGGTCGAGCCGGAGCAGGCCGTTCTCCACCATGAAGTCGAGCGTCTCGGCCAGGCGGGTCCCCACACCGCGCACGTCATAGACCCAGACCGGGTAGAGGGGCATCACCTCCCAGTCCAGGACGATCACGTTCACCGAGGAGTTGGCCTTGAAGTAGGCTGCAAAGTAAAGAGGAAGAAGAAGAAAAGAACGTACCCGAGGAGATCAAGATCCAATGTCACTCAATGTTTTTGAGGGATGCTCACCATTCTTGGGGAGCTGCATGGACGCGTACCCAACCCCATTGGCGAAGCCATGGATAAGCAGTTTAGTGGGGAAATCAGGGTTGAAGCCAGCATCGAGGATGTCCTGCTTGTCCAGGTCACTGTCGATGAGATTGCCAATCTTCTGATCAGCGTTGTCCCTAGAATGAAAGAACAAGAGTCTTTGTCGTCAAAGCAGTCAGCCCGCAGGATAGAAAAACAAGAGGTTTAAAATTAAACAAGGAAACTGACTTGTTGTAGAAGTAGAACTTGACGAGGCGTTTGTCGGAGTCGCTCGAGTGAACTGTAAATGCAGAATAGTAATTTCAGTTGAGGCATTAATAGTCAGACTTCAAGACTATGCTGTCCGGTCCACGCGTGTTCGCGACTCACGGCGCACTTACATTCAGCGGCCACGGTGCCCATCGTGCGATTTCAATTCTATTCTTTTATCTTTGCATAGACTAATCGCAATCCGCGGCGTGAAGGTTATAGAACAAATACACATTACGTTGCTTTGCTTTATAATTCGACCACTAAATAC